TGCATACTCTTCAGTCATATAAAACCTCATCAACGATTTTTTTTTCAAAGATGACTAGTATTATGGTGACAGAATCAAGGGCAATATTCATATTGTATGCCATCTGTTTTTAATAGTCCAACCTGACGGAAAAACTAAATAAATTCTTTGATTACGACCAAACAAAATGGCCGCCAATTCATCAGCAACTATTTTTCATATAGATTTAATATTTGGTGATTGAATTATTTTTTAGAGGATTATTCTATTTCGATATAGAAGATATAAAATGAAAATTATTGTAATCACTGATTCTAACTATTGTTTTCGATAATTAATTATCTTGAGATTAATATTTAACACAATACTAAATAATATATATTTGAGTTTTACATTTTTTTCAGACTGTCGTGAAACAACAGTCACGACTGTACTTGTAGGTTTATAGTTGGCGCATTATTTAATACTAGCCTAGAATATTTTCCCTTATATTTCCCCTATATTATAACAATGTATTGGGATGTAAAATGTAAAAAATGTATTTTACATACTTTTAATGTCCTATTCTATAACAAAGCTGTATACGGTAAAAATGATTTGGCCATAATAGTTTAGGTAAGTGTTGCAGGTATGAGAGATGTATTGCGTAGAAAAGGATAAAGGATATATATATAGGGCTTACTCGGGATTAAAATATAAACTAAAAATAACGCTTGGTATGATTCGAACAATTGAAAGCAGAATATTGGAGCAGCAAAAACAGTAGGGTAAATAAATAAATAAATAAATTAAACATATTTGTGCTTGCCAATGTTCACAAAATATTATTTTATTTTCTGCTGTCAATTATACAAAATAAATACAAGAATCATTCACTGGGAATACAAGTTATGCATGTGTGCATTTTGCGCATATGAAAATGGACAATTTATTTTGTTCGGTATCATCCAGTTTCACTACACCCCCCCCCCCAATGCTTACTCTGTCTGTTTCCCCGCCTCACTACTGAAAATAAACTCCAGTACATTTGCTATGCGATTCGTATGTACTCAGAACGAACAGTTTCAATGAGTAAAGTATTCATGTCAATCAAGTTATTTCGAAATGTGTATTTCTGCTACGCTTGTTTCATAATTACAATGCAATATATTATCAGCTGTACCGCACACTAAATCCGTTCGCCTCCCGATGAGAAAACATGCTAATAAAGGTGTCAGTGAATGATATTTTACTTAAACAACGAAAATACTCTGGTTTTGATGTGTTTATTTTTAATCTACCGACACAACAATTTCAACACAACTACAGTAATTTACATTGACAACAACAACAAACGCCTACATGATTATGCGGCGTTGGATTCACCCACCAGTTGACAAATATGGGCATGTGATTCATTAATTATTCAAGTAGGTGACCTTTGGTGCTGACATCAAAGGGTAAAGATATGTAAATTTATAGTGGGCGGACCAGGAATCGCATAGCAAATATACTGTTTTCGGTAGCCAAGCGGGGAAACAGACGGAGGAAGCTGGGGTATAATATCACTTTGGAGTCGCTGATTTTAGAGGAAGTGTGGAAGTTTTGGTGAGACGATCGACATTT